ACGGGACGGCCTACTCCCCAGGCGGACACCGTGGTGGGAAAGGGCGGAGTGTGGCGGGGGGGAGGGGTATGGCACTGCGCCAGGGCGGGCAGCGCCGAGCGGTGCAGTGCAGTCCCACGGTCATGGCCACGATCGTCTTGGACAATGACTTACGTGCCGTGCCCGCCCCCACCCCGGGTGCAGCAGCACCGCGTGCGTGTTGCCCGACGCTGTTGTTGTTGTTGTTGGCGCTGCTGCTGCTGATGCACCGAAAGTGGAGCGGACGTGTTCCGTCCGAGGCGCGGGCTATGCCGCCCTCCGCCCCGAGCCGGGCGCGACAAAATACAGCTCAAGTTCACGACGATAGAAGAGGAAAAACACCCGGACAGCGGGGCAACACTCCCCGAAACTGCGCTAATTGTCTGCCCAGCGCCAAGTTGGAAACACTCGATTAGTTAACCAACACAACGAGCATAAGGTGCATAGGGCCGGGCGGCGACGTGTGTGTGTGGGCCGGGGGTGGGGGGGTGCGTGTGCGCGACCCGCATAGCAATGCAGTTTGCGTAACGCTGGTGCTCTACTTCCACACACGCGTGACGGCCCCCCGTGGCGCGCGCGCGCGCGCTTAGAGACTGACAAGTGGCTGGAGAAGACACAACAACACACCGCACAGGTTAAAGGGAACCACTCACTCACAAGTCGTGACCGTGCCCGGGTTCTCCTTCCCCGCCGCCGCGCCCTGCAGGCCAGGCCAGAGGTGAGGTGAGTCAGTGCTGCACGACCGCACCACCACGACAGCCGCCCCCCTCAATGCGCAGGTATTATCGCTTATCGGCTGTTCTAACTGCCTTCGACTCGGGCCTCGGGCGGGCCTCCTCCTATGCCTCACCGGCCGCGCGCCCCGCCGCCAAGGTGCACCGACACGTCCCCTGTGGGCGCCCCACCCACCAGCCCCACACCGCCGCTGCTCCCCCAGGCGGACCCACCACCACGCACGGTCCTGTCATGATGGGTTGCCTACCCCACGGTTTGCGAGGGGGGGGGGGTCTGAAGGCTACACGACGGCGTTGCCCGGGCAACCGGCTTGCCCTGCTGGGCCCACAACGCCACGCAAGGCGTATATACAGCGGGGCTTGGAGGGGCCTCCTCCGTATGACCAGAATGGATAGCTCTCCGCCACGCCACGCCACGCCCGGCGGCGGTGTGTCAAGGCCTTGCGCAGGGCCGCCTCGCACCAAATATCGCAAAGGCGGGGCGGCCCGCCCGGCGCACCTTCCGGCCGCGAGCCTCGCGCTTCCGGGGCGGACCCGACCGGTCGCTCGTGGATCTAGCCACTACTGCTTTTCGTACACTAGAAAATAAAGAATCAAGGGGTGTGAAGAGAGAGGGGTGTCTTTTCAGACCACCCCGAGGACTGTCTCTACCAGAGGGCAAAGGACCTCCCCGCCCCCCCCCCTTTTCTCCCCACTCTCTATAGCACATAGGGCAGGCGATTGCGTGGGTGGGTTTGGTAGTTAGTTTGTTTCGTCATTTAGAGTTTTGTGCGGCTTTCGGGTGTTGCGACGTAAAAGCATAGGGGGCACCCCCACAAGTAGTGTGTGTACAGTAGCACTGTAGTCACACGTGCCGCCAATCCAGAACCATCAATATGTAGGATATCGATTGAGAAATGCGGAAACCACCTGTGCGCCCCTCAGAACACGATTAGAGGCCCCCCAAGAGAGCTTGAAGGCGGCGAGCATTCCAGGCAGACCCGTGCTGCAAACACCCAGTCATGGTATGGGAAACGGGGGGGGGGGACAACGCGTCTTCGATCCCACAAGCACTCCGACAGGGAAGTTCCAGCCCGGCGGAGAGGAGGGTCTGAAACGAGATACCGCGGCACAGGTAGCCTCGCGGCGGGCGCCGTGCTGCAGCAGCAAGGAATGCATCATGGGAATGCTCTCCAGTCGGGAATGCCGCGCGCAACTATAGGCGGGCGCCGGCCTGGTGGGAGCAGGCGGAAGAGAAGGGCGACACCGGGATGATACGTACGTCGACTTGCAGCAGGCGTCATCATCTCGGCGACACATGGGCGACGGCCTCCCGCCGGCGCCGGCGTGGAGAGCCAGTCCGTGAGTGTGCTCGGCTGCCGGCGGGGACCCACATGCGGCCGCGTGGAGCACACACAACACACACACACGTGGTCACTCGCGTGGACGCAGTCGCGGTGTTCGGCACGACGGCGCGGTTGTTGTTGGCGGCGGCGCGAGGCGAGGTGTGGTGGAGTTGGCGCAGCTAGTCGCGCCGGCCGGGACTGCACTGGCCGCGGGGCTGTGGGACTGCTGGGCTCGGCGCTGCCAGCCAGCGCGGTGTGTTGCGGCGGCGGTGTTGGCCGTGCTAGCGGCACGGACCGGTCGGCCGCCCAGCGAGGCGAGCCAGCACCAGCCAGCGCAGCAGCACCATAGCCTGTGGGCCGTCCCCGGCCGCGCGCCGCCCAGCAGCGAGCCCAGCGAGCTGCTCCGCCAGCAGCACAAGAGCGCCGTCCGTTCACCCGGCCGTTCCCCGAGCCCGTCCTCATCGGCAGAGCGGAGTGCCTCCTCTACTGCTGGCCTGGCCCCCCGGTTGGCTATGACTGCAGCTGCTGCAGCTGCGCCGTGGGACCCCAGCTGCAGCCGCAGCAGCGGCAGTTGCCCCCCCGGCCGGCCCGGCCCGGCCCCGCCAGGTGAAGGGAAGGGGAGGAGGAGAAGGAGGAGGAGGAGCTTGTAGTGCGGCGCGGTCACGACTGCGGTCTACATTTTACGACCGCGGGTCCCGCCGCGCACTGCGGCAATGATGGCGGGAAGCGAGTTTGGGCGACGGCGCGACGTGTTGCCGGCGGTCGAACGTGAGAAATGAGTGTGTGTAGAGGGAAGAGGTGGGGGAGGGGTGGGGGGTGGGTGTAAAGACCCCTCCCTCACTGCACTTGCCCGTGACCTCCACAGCAGCCCATTTTCTCGTAAGGACCGTAAGGCTCATAAACACGGGACGCATGATCAGGGCCGCCAGGGTTCGCTTAGTACAGTACGTACCGCGACTCGCCAGCAGGACGCCCGCGCACACCGCGCAAGGTACTTGGTGGGTACATGAGGTGCCCGCCCGCGGGGCACCGCGACCAGGATGACAACGACGGCGCCCTACGGCCCTGGGTGGGGCGTTCGCTCGCCAGGCGCGGTTTTGAGTCCGTCTGACGGAGGCGGTGTTTTGTTCTGGGTTGCCTACTTTCAGGGGTTTTGTAGGTCAAATTGCCCACCTTCCCTAGGACCGACGGGGGGAGGGGGGGGGCTTCCCCATAAAACCGCGCCTGTCGCTCGCCTCCTTGGATTCACAGTGTTCTCCCGCGCCCCGCCCCGCCCCACCCGCTCTGCCTCCCCAAGGATGACTCGAGGCTCGTGGAGGATGACGCCATGCTCGGCCATGAACTCTCGAGTCCATTGGCCATGACGACGGAGAATCCGAATGCACGCGGAGAGTCACTCGGCCCGGCCCGGAGGCCGCGAGAGCCGGCCGGGGCAAGAAACGGTGAGATTCGCGGCGAGCAGAGTTTGATGCTGCTGTCAGGCCAGCTGCGAAGGAGCCCGGCCCGTGGAAGCGTGGCTGGCTCTATGGCTGCTTTGTAGCAGCTCTCTGAGGACACGGCTTTGCGCGGCCAGGCGGGCGGAGCTGGGCGTGACGCCACACCGCACGCACACCTGCAGCTGACCGCGGCTGCGTGGGCAGAGCTGGGCGTCCCCGTCATCGCGTTGGGCCCCCCACCTCCTCCTCCTCACCCATGTCGCAGAGACAGATAGGATAGACGCGCAGAGACAGGCCGGACAAGCGGAGCGGGGCGGGGCGGTCGCGTGTATCTCGTCAAGGTGGATGGACGGGATACGGGGACCGGGCTGCTCCTCCTCTACTTCTACTTGCTCCCTCCCACCACCTCCAGACTATCTCCCACCAGAATCCACCTTCTCCCGTACCGGGTCGCCTGTCATCGTGACAACGTGGAGACGGGGTCTTGGCGGGCAGGGAAAACATAAGACTGCGACGACTACAACTCGGGCGGGCGCGCGGTTTTTATGCAGATACTGCAACTTTCTGGCTGCACAAGCAGAAACGTCTCGCGCCTTTGCCGGAGCAGGGAATTCCCCCTTCGCTTCGACGTCATAGGATAGCTCATAATTGCAATAGGGGAATCTTACTTATAGAAATAAAAGACTTTGGTAAAAATGAAGGGAAAATGTTGGGCACTTGTGTCTTTGCTGTTTGAACAGCTGCACTGGCTCACACACAAAACTGTTCTCAATGGCACATGCATTCAATAACATACAAGCTGAGAAAAACCCAACTGCGCACTACACAAAGCAGTGTGCATCCACCAGTTACTTACCCGCAGAACATTCTTGTGAGGCATCCAAATAAAGGCCAGCGGTACCTTCTTCCCCAGTGCCGTTTGTATTGAACACCATCAACCTCATCAGATGGCTGTAGTAGGTACTCCCTCTCATCCACCTCAAAGTCCCTCTCATCATGGGTCATCCTAAGAGGAAGAGCTTCCATTCTTCAGCTGAGGGCAATACCTGAAAAATTTGGTCAACAAAATTAATATAGTTTAGAGTTTATACTTTTAAGTACAGCTCAGAAATGAAAAATCCAAAATATAAACAGACAATAAATTACGAGAATATTGAATTTTATTGCAGACTTAAGACACTCTCTTAAGGTCAGGAAGCTAAATCGTAAGAGAAATATTGCTATACAGAGTTATCTATGCACTTCCCGACAAGAAATTGTGGTTAGAATAGGCCAAGAATACAAAAGGGATAAATACTGCAAGTAAATAAAAGACTCGTCACGAACAATAAGATAGTGAAAGAGTACTCAAGTTATGTAACGAGTTGTTCAGAAAAATGCAAAACAATAACTGTTTACTTAACAGTAAGCATAGGTTACTTACTGTTTAATTAGACATAGGAGAAAACTTTAAGTTCTGAATAAAAATCAGTTTTGTCATGAAAATCATAGAAATTTGGTCGCAGTTTTGACTGCAATCAAATGCAAAAATACCGTCAGAAACATTTCTTACTAACCAACACAGCGGTAAGCGGTACGGGCTTCTGCTGCTACATCTTCTCAAGTGTTGGTGCACCTGACTTTTTAAGCTACAGGTTGCCAGCTCATCAAAGCTGCAGCAAGCCAATATAAATGTATTCCTTTCATGAAAACAAACGTTTGATGTGGTATTGCGTGTTGAAAATGGAAAGAAACACTTATACAAGTATCTTATTATTTTTCTTTGCCTGACTTTTACAAAAATTGCAAGTGGATGTTTGCAGGCTTAGGTCTACATGTTGCTCAAACTGTTATTGACCCTTTCATCTGTCATGGCGACTCGGACGTAAACAAAACCCTAAACTTCTGTCATCTGCCTACCCTTTTTTTGAGATTTGTTAATATATTGATACTTTTAATCGATTGAAGCCTTTCATTATCCGTAATGATCGCATGAGATACCATAACGTAAGTTTAAAGTTGTCATGGAAATAGATAATGGCACCTGGGAACATATTCCCTTCCTACATAAATCTCTTGTTATTGTTTCTTGCTCTCATTTGAACTACTTTCAACATTTGTATCTTGTAAAGTGATAGACTGTCTTCTAGGACACAAAAAAACTGATTTTCTACTCTAAGTGTTGTTTTTATCTGGTTCCAGCATTGTGTAGAGTCCAAGGCATGGCTGTGGCTGACAAAAAGGATATTGATTTTACTGAGCTAGAAAGAGAATTAGAGGCTGCTATTGACCAAGATACGAGATACTGGCTTCAAAATGATGCAAAGATACGTGCTGTAAACCAGCGTGTTGCTACTTATGATGAGTTCAGGTACGGGCAGACCTGTCAGGTGTAAGTGCAGTTTATCCTTGTGTTTCCCTCATGGCACATCTATTATGATTCAGAGATATTGTGAAAGCTGCTCATTTAAAACCCCTGAAGAAGAAAGATATATCGGGCTCTGGCAGTAACGATTCTAGCTCTTCTCGAGGAAGCTTTGTGTGGAACTCGATCGCTAGTGGCAAAAAAAAGCCAGCTGCTGAGCGTCAAGAAAAGCACGACATGGAGAATGATGTCTATCCTGTAATATTTTCAACATGATCAAATATTTTGTGTTGTTCCAATATTGACTAACATCAAAAGTGTTTTCACTCCATTCTTTGTTTTCAGAGATCTGCTTCAAACCAGGTGGACTTACAAAGAGCACTATCATCGACTTCAGAATTTATGCAGATGTGGAGAAGCCTTGATGGAAGTGAAAGGCGATATGCAGCTCTCCAGCGTGTAGGTACAGGAGCTCTAGGGCGACTTTTTTCCACAACTGAGATTCCTGTTGGCCTCCTTGGTGAAATATTAGAAGCCGCACTTCATTTTCGGGCATCTACCCATGAAATTTGTTTTGTTGTTAAAATGCTGGAGACTCTTACTAAAGCCAAAAGGTATGGTGAAATCCTATCCCAATATATGCAGCTATGATGTCTAAAAACAATTCATAAAACCTGTTTTTATTCTCCTTTTTTTTCTTTCTTTTTTTTTCTGTAGATTTTGCCTCACACTGGAGTTCCTGAGTTCTGGTGAAAAGGCCACCTGTAAACAGCTGCTCAGTAAGTTGAACAATAGTCTACAGGGCCAACAACAAGACTTAGCTGAGAGAGGTGTGACTGAATGGACATTACGGCAGCTTCACAACGCATATAGGGTGTAAAAGTAATTTTGCAAAAAAATGTCATCTTGGTTTTATTATTAGACAATTATCATGGAGAAGTGTTTAACTTCACTTTTGTTGTAAATGATGTACTTAAACAAATTTATATAACTTACGCACCTAGTCTTTTCTCTGATCCTGCAAAATTTATTGCTGGCAGAGCCATTTAGTCATAAACTTTCCAGTCTATCACTACTCATCAACTGTAGTGAAATTTTTGAACTTGAACTTATTACATAGGTTTCTCTATACTGTAGTGGACAAATATGCTCTTCAAATCTTTTAAGGTTCTGTATTTTTTCCTTGTTGGTATATTTCAATCTGACTTCAGACAGTTTCAGATTTTTTTAAAAATTCTTGGTCTCTTTCCAGTAACTTATATTTCTTTGAAATAAATCAGATCTCATCAATTAATATTTAAATTACAATCCCCCTTTTTTTCACCATTTCAATATCATTAATTTAAAAAGTTTTCAAATGGGTTGTGTGCTGTTTTTTTTTAATGATCTCTATTAAAATGAAGCTTAGAATGAAGGCATGATAAGGGAATACTTCTTCCAATCTTGCAGCTCAATTTTAAAATCATCAGGAATCTTCCCCTCTATTGCATGTACTTTCTGTGTTTTATTTATTTCAAAAACCACCTTGTGAATGATCTGTGTTCCATCTTAACAAGTGATATGTTAATTATTGTTCATATTGTACAATAAAAGTTATTAGTTACACGATGTTTTCACCCAAATGACCTGCTGCCTAAGCTCTCAACACCCCATCTCATACTTATGCAGTGCTCAGGTAGGAGCGCCTGCCATCCAGTGGGTAGGCAGCACGCCTAGCAGTGGTGTCTTGCGGGCCTGCCCGGTGCTCATTTCGTTTAGAGAAGGGAAGAAGGGGGGGGGGACTTCCTATTGATAGTAAAGAGTTTCTGAAAGATGATACTTCGGAGACAATTGTCAGAATGAGGAGACTAGTTCAAAAGTGGTATATTTTGCAAAACTGCCATCGCTGCTAGACGACGAAAATGTCTCGGAGAAGTAGGGAACTGTAAAAAAATGTTCGATTCATCGCATCGGGGAAGAGTCAATCCACTGGAAAATGGGATGTCTGTCCCAGGTTAGCGACGTGCTTACGCAACGGTCCCAGCATCTCGTCTGTCTGGGTCACATCATTCCCTGGGCATTCCCCCCTCCCTTTCACGTACAACTGTGCCGTGGCGTGGGCTCAGGTGTGCATGCAGGGAGTCGGGGTAGAGGGGGCCTGCCGGACAATCGCTTCCACGACCTATACCTATATGATATGCCTTTGCTGTCGGGCCCTTCACCAGCTGGCAATGACGCCGAGTGTTGTCGGCAGTTGACTTGTTTAGGAGGTGGTTACCAGTTACCATTTATCGTGATGACGGCGGGGACAGTTTAGACTCTAGTGCATCGCGGCGGCTGCAGCGTGACTGCGTAGCTATGTCGCCCTGCTAGCCGGCGGCCGATACCCTGTGTGTCGCTAGCTAGGGCTAGCAAGGGAACGTAACAGCCCTGCTGCAGGTGCAAGTCTGTCTAGGCACAAGTTGCACACTTCTAGGGACCTAACGATCTACAGTGGTAGATCCCCGCCGGAGCCGGGGG